CCTAACTCTCCCGGCTTATCAATATGTGACTACATCAACAAGATATGATCACACCTAGACCTTGCCTTGCCAATATGGCCTGAGTGACCTTGAACTTGTGGGTTAGGGAGAATAATTAGAGGACCTTAAAGAAGTATGATTTCCAAAGGACATCATATTCATTTAGGAAAGCTTGTTTCAAGAGATTTGGGAAGATCATAAATGTCTAGAATAGACATCTTTTGGGAGATATTCAAGATAGTTGATCTTAAGTCGTTAATACCCAACAAACTATTTTATAACTTAGAAGAGGGATGTCGTAATCCAAGCTATAAAATATTTGAAGGTAGGTGAATGATGATTCACCAATTTCCACCAAGATAAACGAAATGTATGATTAGGTTTTAATTGGATTTGAAACTCCTAGATATTTTGAGATTCATTGAACTGTTCAATGGCATGTTTCAATCTCGAGTGTGCCCTTCAGGTTTTGTGACTGGAATGCCGAGGATCACAAAACAAGGTGTGAAGTAACCATGCAAATTACTTGGTACCCTTAAGTATTTACCCCTCAATCGATGTGCCGGTTAACCACACACGCTTCATCGATACTATGATAAACATTTAGTTACCCTTTGCCTACCTTGTTAAATATGAGTTAGTGTGTCGGTTAACCACACACGCTCCACTAACCGACTTAAACAAAGTGCAAAGTGTAATTTCATGGATTAGCACCTTATTCACATTTTCCTAAGTAACTAAGATTGGGTATTGTTAAGAGTTTAGTTACTTAGTATTTATCATTAATACTTTTAATGAAGGGAGAATTATAGTCATGTCAAACCCGTTCGGCTAACGACCCTCCACCGGTCAAGGAAGCGGTGGGTGAGAGAGGACACCCATTAAACTGCCATTTTATAGGCAGTAACCTTATACCCCCCCCCCCCCCCCTTATAGATCGACTTCGTGAATACTAATTGTAAGACTGACTTTACTCTTATACATATATATATATATATATATATATATATATATATTATTAACTTATAATATTATAAAGTAAAATGGTTGAATTTTAACTTTAAAAATTCTAAGGGCTAACTTGGAATTAAAGTATTCATAAGAGAACACTTTTTCAAATTCCAAAACTTGAGGGCAAGTTTTGAAATTATTCAAAACTAATTAATTCCATAACTTATGTGATTAAAGTAGTTTTAATCCAAAAACTCTTCAAGTTCTATAACTTGAAGACAAGTTATGGAAGACTTTAAACTTAATAAAAAATCTAACTTTTCTTTATTTTATAACTTATGGAATTATTAAGGTTACACACTTTCTTCTTTAATGAAGTGACTCTTGAACCTCCATAACTTGTGGACAAGTTATGGAGTCATAAATACAATTAATGATGACAAGACTCTTCATTTTTTGTAACCATTACCAACTTTTATGAGTTTTATGAGTCTTTAATGTGACTCTTCATGTAACTTAAGGACAAGTTACACAAACACATTTTATACTCAACTCTTAGATTAAAATGGATTGAAAACAACTATTTCAATTAACTTTTCTATTAATCTAAGCAACTCATAAGAACAAGATAATTCAAATCAAACTTTTTCATGTAATTAGTCTAAACTTTAAACTAATAGAAAACATGAATCTATTGACAATTATCTTTGAAATTGGATTAGCATGAACATTACCACATCAAAAACAAGTTTATAAGTCCAAAAACATCTTAGGGTAATGTTCCTAGTCCAATTCTAGCCAAAAAAGTCGAACTTATGCTGTATGGGGTCCAACTCGTCGAGTGCATGAACCAACTCGGCGAGTTGGATCGATTTGATAACTTTTATGCATGGACTCGCCGAGTCTCCTGATGGACTCGCCGAGTCTGATGATCAGACAGCAAACAACTTCGATTTTTAAGCAGTTTTGCAAGTATAACAAGAAAACAAGCCTAGGCTCTGATACCACTGTTGGGTTTTGAGCATTCTAACACTCCTATGGTGTACATGCAACCCTATGAACCTTGGATCTATGTTTTCTCTATTATACATGCAAATAAGAACTGTCCAAGGCTTTAATCCTAGCTAGCATATTATGAAGATCTCATACTACAAAGTACTAGTTAGATGACATACCTTTTGATGTAGCTTGATGTCTTCAAGCTTTAAGAGCTTAGCCCCAATAGTTTGGAAGCCTCAAGTGGAATCATAAATCTCCAAAACACCTTGGAAGACTTTAAGAATATGGATACTTGGTTCTCATTAGTGAAATCGGCTAGCCCTTCATAGTGTTCCCACACTAGTGCAATTTCACCAACCAATGACATCTTTATATAGTATGGAGACTAGGGTTAAACCCATGACTTTTTATTTCATATGATCCATGGGTTAAACACTCCATGGACTATCCATGAGAGCTTATCCCAACCTAAATGAACCTGGCCCATTCCATATATATAAGAGTCCATATTTAATTAGTTCATTTTTATCACTTAATTAATTCTAAATTAATTCTTGATCAATACTAATTAAATAATATGATTTCATATTAATATATTAGGACTTATAATATATTAATATTAACCATAAATATACTATTCTCAAAAGACTATCCATATAAATTGTGTTGGTGAAACCCAAATGAACCATGCCGGGTCGGGTCAAGTACATTCCAAATATAGTTATGGACTTAGACATTAATCAAACCATACATACATATATATATATATATATATATATATATATATATATATATATATATATATATATATATGGGAAAAGGGAATATATTACAGCCCCACGTAAGCTTAGGTACTAGATCTCTTGAAAATAAATTGTTTTACTATATAAAGATTACGATTAATGGATTCACGATTAATATTTCTAGATGTAAATTCATGATCGACACAGTAAGGTTTAGGGTTTAGGGTTTACGTTTAAGGTTTAGGTTTAGGTTTAGCTTTAGGGTTTAGGGTTTAGGGTCTTAGGGTTAGGGTTTAGGGTTTAGATTTTAGGTTTACGGTTTTAGTTTAGGGTTTTGGGTTTAAATTTAGGGTTTAGGGTTTAGTAATGTTCACTTGAGAAACGATAAATGAAGAAAGAAAACAAAGATGGTAAAACGATAATTTAAGAAAGAAATGTTATGGAGGTTGATATATTTACCAAGTGGAACCAAACCAGGTATATTTAGCATGATAAAACGACATATTTTAGAGGTTTAGTACTTAAGCTTAGGTGGGGCTGTAATGTATATTCCCTATCTCCTATATATATATATATATATATATATATATATATATATATATATATATATATATATATATATATATATATATATATATATATATATATACACGTTTAGGTTCATTTAAGACTATTTTAATTTTGTGAGACCCTGAAATCAAATCTAAAAATAAATTTAAAATGTAAAATAAATGGAAAAATCAAAAAAAATTCTTTTTTAAATATTATTTTCGGAACATGAATTAACTAAAAAAAATAAAAAAAACAAATACAAATAAATAAATAAAAATGTCGTTTTTTTTTTTGAAAAATACGTGAAATATTCTAATAGAATATTACACTGACATATTTTAAAAGATAATTTTAAAATGCAAAATACATGGAAAAATCTAAAAATTCTTTTTTAAAATATTATTTTCGGAATTTGAATTAATTAAAAAAAATAAAAATAAGTAAATAAAAAAATCCCATGTTTTTTGAAAAATAGGTGTAAGATTTTAATAAATAAAAAAAAATATTATTTTCGGAACATGAATTAACTAAAAAAAAATAAAAAAAACAACTACAAATAAATAAAAAAAATGTCGTTTTTTTTTTTTGAAAAATACGTGAAATATTCTAATAGAATATTACACTGACATATTTTAAAAGATAATTTTAAAATGCAAAATAAATGGAAAAATTTAAAAATTCTTTTTTAAAATATTATTTTCGGAATTTGAATTAACTAAAAAAAATAAAAATAAGTAAATAAAAAAATCCCATGTTTTTTGAAAAATAGGTGAAAGATTTTAATAGAATATTACACTGTACATATTATAAAAAATAATTTTAATATGCAAAACAAATGGTAAAATCCAAAAATTCATTTTTTAAATATGATTTTCGGAACTTGAATTAACTAAAAAAAAATAAAAAAAAAATGCGTCTCACGGTCTTACAAAATTAGGCCATCTCACATGAACCTAACCTTATATATATATATATATATATATATATATATATATATATATATATATATATATATATATATATATATATATATGGGAAGTACCAGTTGGATGGGGGTGGGTGGCCAGTTTTTTTAATTTTATGTTTATCAAAGAAAAAAAAAAGATATTTTCTTCATTTCAAAAACACATAACAGAATCTGGTAACAAAGTTAGTCACAAGGACAATTTGTGTGCAAAGTTTGCTCTACAGGGACCATTTACGCAAAAAATGTTCCATAAGGACTATTTTTGGGATAAAATTAACACCATAAGCATAGTTTGTGATCTTTGGTTTATATATATCTTAACTATATTATTATACATATTGCCCATGTCTTGAAAATTAAGAGATATACATTTTATAGCACCATGTACAATCTATTAAGCTTATAATGTATACGTATACACACACGTATCATTGTAACGTACTATCAAAGCTTCTCGTGGAAAACCCTAATACCCTCTAAACATTATCAGCCATCGTTTCTTCCAACCATCGTTTCTTCCAAAAGCTTCTTCCAAATCTATTTCGTCTACCTCCTCACTTTCTTCAATCTCCGATAGGCTTCCATTAACACCACCCTCCTATAGTCGTCGCTATCTCCACCCTAATTGCAAGCCCTAACCCTAGAGTGTCCCCTCCATCGCCACCAGACATCGCACACCATAAACAAGAAAAAGCCCTAACTCTTCTAGCTATTAAGAGTCAGTTTATGTTACTTCTCTACTGTCACCATCATCATTGATTACAAGAGGTAGATACAAAGGAGTGCGAATGAGGAGTTGGGGTTCATGGGTTTCTGAGATAAGAGCACCAAATCAGAAATCAAGAATATGGTTAGGATCTTACTCAACTTCTGAAGCAGCAATAAGAGCCTATGATGCAACCCTTTTATGCGTTAAGGGCCCAACTGCAAATCTAGCGGCGACTGCCACCAGTACCGGTCCGTCTCTATCTCCACCACCATCTCCATCTTATTCATCACCATTATCACCGGTTTCACCATCTCAATCAATAACTTCATCTAATGAGAAAAGCCACAGATTGTCTTTTGAAAACGATCCACTTGATGGCACCTTGATATCGATGGTTGCACCATGGTGCAATGTATTTGATTCCCCAAGGTACATTGATGTGATGAACAACAAGTCTTTGTTTGATCCCTCCGATGAAGAAGCTTGTGAACTTCGTCTCTGGAGCTTCTACTGAATCCATGTGCTCTTTCTTTTTTCTAAATTATTTTATGGAAATTTCTTGACTAACATTTAACAAACAGTTTATTCTACTTTTGGAGAAATACATTTTTCTTTTTCTAAATTATCTACTGAATCACTCTGACTGTTTTTTTCTTCAGAAAACTAAGCCGACACATCACAGTGTTCGGGAATCGCGAGCTTTAGGCCTGACCCCTCACTTTTTAGCATGTAGTTCGTACAGGTATGATTTATGAATGGGTGTGTTGTGGTTAAGAGTTAAGACTTAAGCAATCAAAGTATTGGTTTACCTTGCAGCCATTGTTGGAAAACACAAAGCATAAACTCTCACAATTTTCTCATGTACCTGGAAGTTTCTGGATAATAGGTTGTCCTTGGCTTTGTGTTGTTATTTCTGATTGACTGATTGATTTTGTCAACAAACAGGCTGCCAACATTCTTAATATACATGATGTTCCAAACATTTGTCATGTTCCTCTTTTACTTCAGGTGCGTGGATGTTTGTATTCCTTTGATAATTGAGATAGATATATTTCTCATCATCTCTAAATTTTTCCAAAACCAAAATGCTCATGACGTAATCCTGAAACAGCTAGCACTACACACATATTTATTGTCAGTAGTATGTGTAGAAGGAATGTGATAATATTTATTCTCTCTCTCTCTCTCTCTCTCTCTCTCTCTCTGCTTCAGTGTAGCAAGACCTCCAAATTTACAAGAGTGGACTAACAGGGCAGAAACTTTTGACAACCTTACCAATTCTGTTAGTATCATTTTTTTCCTTTACTACTTACTACTGCATTTCAGTTACTTAATACCCTGTCCCTTTTCGTGTTGGTGTGCAACTGCAGGTGAAGATTGCAATGGTTGGGAAATATGTTGCCCTAACAAACTCCTATTTGTGTGTTGTTAAGGTACAGTTAGAGTTATAGTTTTGCAATAACATTACAATATGTTTGTTTTCGTGTTACTAGACTTGAACTTGAACTTGAAATCAAGTGCAGGCCCTTCTCCATGCATGCATTGCATTTTTGTTGAAACCCTCCATTGAATGGATTGCAACTTCTAATTTAGAAGATGAATGAGCCAGACTAGTGCAAATTGGATTGTTGAACATGAAGAAGATGCAAACATAGATCAAATGCCTTTGGTACTCTTACTCTCTTTCTCTCATACTCACTTAACATCGCTTATTCCAAGAAATCTGTTTATTAATATTTAACATTTATCTATTTAAAATTCTTTTGCCTTTGTAGTAGCAAATGGGAAAATAGTTCAAACTCGAAATTTTCTGATGCTTTAGGTAAGTATGCTTCAAAACATGTCGCATGATTATATTCTTTTCTTAACTTCTTTCATTTACTGATTCCTTGTATTGTTTTATGTTAGGATCAATATGCCAAGATTGAAGCAAATATGGGGAGGTTGCACAGGGGTTATAAGGTTGCTTCAAATTTCTATTTTTACTGGCCCACTTAAAGAAATATGTGTATATTACTCTCTTTTTCCTTGTATTGTTTTATGTGGAAGGTCGCCTTTTTATTTAGTAATGTATAGAAGTGGATTTTATGGAGATATGGACTTTCATATCTTCTATCATAGATCAGGAAGGTACACAGACTTCATAGCTTCGTCCTCTAGATCTGTTATAGGGTTTATCTTTTACATTACTCCAAGCTGATTCTTTGTACTTATACATGATTTTTGTTGGTTTATTTCTACCTTTTTGTAAAAAATTTACACCATTCTTTGTTTCTAATTTATATGATTTTGTGTGTTTTTAATTTGTTTTGTTAGGGCCTAGGGTTTCATAGAGATGATGATGACATTAAAGTCAACAATAAGACTAATAATAGTTCATGTCCATGCCCTGTATGTTTGTTGTTGACACTTCTCAACTTTTGCCTCACCATGTATCCTAATGACACTTGACTATAAATATTAGCATATTTATATATCTACATATGGAAGAATATTGTTTTATTTAAAAGTAGATCTACAAAGTAGATAAAAGAACTATAATTTAGGAACAAATGTTGGGTAAATTTAGTCATTTGACATTTTTTGTGTTTAAATGTAGTGTTTACAAGGAGAATTGTTACTAGGATGTGTCTTGTAACGTGGGGCTGGATAATCTAGGAAACTAATGACTATAATATTATATAAGTGATGGAATTTCTTATTTAATTACAGTTACAAAAGAAGGTAGGAGGAATAAGTATGAAAGACAAAAGAAATTCATTTATATTGGGTATGTTCTTAATCAGGACATCCAACATTCAACTTTCATGTTTTTGTTTCTTATAACATACAACATTCAACAAGTATGTACAGATGCTCTGAGGCCCACTGATTGTTTCTATGTTCCTGATGCTGCAATATTCTCTCTATCTCAAAGGCTAATCCTCTTTATTCTATCAGTGATGTGTGAACTTGTTTTTATCTTGGCAGGGGCAATGCAAATGACGTTGCAGCCATGGTGTCATCTCACTATATATCTAATTTCAAAGTTCCTGATCTTAGCATAAGATTCGTCCTTTGTCACATTTATTTTATTATTGTACTATGCTTTCCCTTTTGTTTCCTTTTTTATCTGATGGGTTTGAGTGATAGACATTTTGATAACTCTCCCTCAAAATTTTAACTTCTCATGCGGCAGGAAGATGAACAATTTAAAATAGTGATTTTTGTTTCTTGTTTTTTTTTTTCTTACAGTAGTGGAACTTTTTTTTATTCAAATATTTGTAATTTTAACTTTGATCAATGATTTTATTCTTTTTTTTTATCATTAAGAAAAATACTTTAAAAATTTTGTCTATGATTAAAACATATCAGTTAAACAAATTATCATGCAATAGCATGTTTTTGTTAATGTATACAGTAAAGTAGGTTTTTGGACAAAATATATTCGCATTTAATCCTACACAGCATAAACTATATTTACAACAAAAGTTTTTTTATCATGTAAGTTTTGACATTAAAATTTATATGTTTGGGTTGGTCTTTTCTAATTAAGTACTTAAAAACCCCACACTAGACTAAAAATGTCAACAACATTATGTTTTATGCATAAGTTTGATCGATTTATCCTATAAACTAATTTAGAATCAATATATGAATGAACTGCCTATGATATGTCTTTTAATCATCAATAATACACATCAATCATACACATAAACCAGTGAAATATTTAAACACTAAAAATCCGGGAAAAAAATGTACGATAAAACCTTCAAACCGAAATTTTAATATGTTTTGATTGGTTGTTTTAGATTTATTTATTTTATTTTCAAAAAAACTTATTTATTTTCGTAATGGTCTGATTGTTTTTCAAAATAGTTATGTTTTTGGGTCACTTTTATGTTCTTTTAGTTAGGTTTTGACTTTTTTCCACAAGCTGCAACTTTCGAAGCTTTTGTCCACTATCTAGAATAAGCTTATTTGATTTTAGAGTAGGCTTGCTTTTTTGTTAAAAAGCCAAATCAACAAAATCAAAACATTTTACCTCTTATTAAACCAATCAACAAGGGTACTTATAATACTCATAAAACAGTGGGTTAAAGGCATTAAGAGAAAATCATGTTATCTAGGTATGAATGAGAAGTCTTAATGATTTCCTTTAACACTTTTAACTAATTAACATCTTACTTAATCGCAAAAATAAAATTATTTATCGAAATAAAACCAATCCCTTGAAAACTAATTGCCATGATGATTTAAAGTCTTAAAATGAATTAGAAACTTTAAATAGAAAAATTTATGAAAACTAAAAAGGAATGAAAAAAACTAATGAAGAACATTCCTCCTTTCTTATCGTTGCTACCAAAACATTTGGTCCGAATACAACAACTAATGTTATTATTTTTGTATAATATTAATACATAATGTTGTTTATACCAACTGGTTTTATAATAGCAATACACAAAACTGTTTGAAGCCATCATTGTATTTGACATCACGTAACACCAACTGCAATGCAAGATGTAGTGTTTGCATGTTTGTATATGTATGTGACTGTGTGTGCATGTGACTCTATCGTGTATGGTTATTTGTAAAACGATAGTAAGCTGCTATTTCTTGCTAATAAATGAATGTAATTTGCTATATATTGCATTACATTTTTTTAATCGCAAGAAATAATAACTTGCTTTGGTTTATAAAAATGTGTTATAATTTCTTGCTAATAAAGGAAAATAAGTTGCTATATCTATCATTTAGTATATGAATGTAAGTTTAAAAATTTGGCACCTAATGTTTTAAAGAAGTCAAATGTAGCCGTAATCATGGATCCTGTTATCCTTATTATAAGCTTGATAATGCATCTATTAGGGTTAGAATGAGAGAAAAAACAACTTACGTTCATTTTAGATTCCTTTTTCCTTATTAATAACATAAAACTTTAATTAATTTGTCATCATAGTGTCATTTGGGAGCTTCCGATATGATATATTGAGCATTTGTGTCGAGCTCAATATGATTGATTTTTATGGTACAAGAGGGAAGCGATTAGTGTCTACCTTTACCTACTTTTATCGCATATTAGTAGCTCTTCATGTTTTGAAGATCTCTACACTATCAACAACTTAAAACACCCATCTGTTTCCGCAAAAGAACTAATTGCCTCTAGAAATTTATTTCTGAAAAATATATTCACACCCGTCGTTTGGTGCGGGTAAACCGGTAGTATATATATATATATATATATATATATATATATATATATATATATATATATACATATGTTGGATTAGATGTATAAACCAATAACTAAATTGGTATATACTTGAATTATTAACAATGTCCTTTTAAGTTGCCTTCAAACCTGTTAATTAAATATGATAAGTTTTAGAGAGAGAGAGAGAGAGAGAGAGAGATTTATTGATTTATTATATGATTAATAGTAGCAATAAATACTTTGTTAATATATTATGAGAATTATATATTTACTAGAAACATTATTATTAATTAAGAATTAATCAAAAATTAATTAGAATT